AGACCTCCGTTCATCTTCAGAACACAGTTTAAGATATTTTAGATTTAGTCCAAGAGTTTTCTGTCCCTCCATTGAAAATGTATGTACGGTTTACTGTCCTTGTCCAGAAAGGAAATAAAGACATCATCAAAGTAGTCCATGTGACATCAGTGGGTTAGTTAGAATGTTTTGAAGCATCGAAAATACATTTTGGTCCAAAAATAACAAAAACTACGACTTTATTCAGCATTGTATTGTCTTCCGGTTCTGTTGTGGATCCGCGTTCAGTGACGCTGCTGACGTAAGACGCTGCTGACGTGTGTCTGGTGCGCCCGAGCTTCGTTTACAGTCTGAGGGAGACGCACGCTGGAAACAAAACAATCTTCACAAACATGTCTAAGGATTTCCACACAGAGGAAGACTTGCATTTTTTTGCCCAGCCATATTTATTTGAACCCGAATACACGGACGCACCAGACACACGTCAGCAGCGTCTTACGTCAGCAGCGGCACTGAACGCGGATCCACAACAGAACCGGAAGACAATACAATGCTGAATAAAGTCGTAGTTTTTGTTATTTTTGGACCAAAATGTATTTTCGATGCTTCAAAACATTCTAACTAACCCACTGATGTCACATGGACTACTTTGATGATGTCTTTATTTCCTTTCTGGACAAGGACAGTATACCGTACATACATTTTCAATGGAGGGTCAGAAAACTCTCGGACTAAATCTAAAATATCTTAAACTGTGTTCTGAAGATGAACGGAGGTCTTACGGGCTTGGAGCGACATGAGGGAGAGTCATTAAAGTCCCTGTAAAGGCAATTTCAAAAAAAAATTCTAAACACATTATAAATGTTAGAAATGTATTGCTAAAACATATTACAAAGACTGTGAACTGTGAAGTACTGAATTGTGGAGTTAGATCGTTAAACAGTTTTTCACCATTGATATTTTACGGATTTTCTGGGCGGGGCTAAAACAGGGCTCGATGACGCACTGGAGCCCTTGAGCTCCTGGACACGCCCCTACTTGATGACGCACTAAAGCCGCTGAGGCTGGCCGCTCCTAACAATATTATAGAGCACATCCATCGGTGTCCTTGTTTAAATTTCCGAAAAACGATTACATCAAGAAGAAGTGGATTAATTTTGTGAAGAGCCACCTTGATGGAGAGCTGAGGATCACCGCCAAAACCTGCCTCTGTAAGTAATCATTTTACACGGGATAGTTTTATAAACTTTCGTCGGAGATAACTGTCTGGGATTCACTGATAATCCGCTGTTACTGGTGAATGGGGCCGAACCGACTCCCGCCTCAGCCTTCATCCTCCCGTCGCGCCGACAACTGGTGCCATTCGGCAGTGCGTGCCCACCGTGCGAGCATCCATTCCGGCTGTAGAGTTGAGTGAGGCGAGTCGACGACGGCAGCTTTCCCGCGAGTGGGCGTGGTTTCAGCGCAGCCAGTGGACACGCCCCCAGCGTTTGAGAGCAGAGATTACTGCTCATTTTTTCAAGATTTTGATAGCTTATTTTATGTACTTGCTGGCTTTTTTTATCATTCAAATTTGGCTGGGTGACTAATAACACATTTTTCTGTGGTGTGACAAACTCAAAACACATACTTAATTTTGACTTTACAGGGACTTTAATGACATAATTTTCATTTTTGGGTGAACTAACCCTTTAAGTCTCTGTGATATTCTGGTCTGTAGAAACGGCTCAGGATCTTCCTTCACTGTAAGTCTTTTTTAGAACACCTCTCCTTAAGACACATAATTTGAAAACTCCAAAGCCATAAATCAAACCATAAAGCCATAAAGTGTGTGTGTGTGTGTGTGTGTGTGTGTGTGTGTGAAGGAGAGAGAGTGAGAGAGAGTGTGTGTGTGTGTGTGTGTGTGTGTGTGTGTGTGTGTGTGTGTGAGAGAGAGAGAGAGCCCTGCTGGAAAAAGGGTCTTGGTGTTGGTGGGGAAGGGGGTCTTTTCTACAAACAGAAGGCAGTGGTTTCAAGTTCCACCTCCGGAACAAAGTCCCTCATCTCACACACACACACACACACACACACACACACACACACACACACACACACACACACACACACACACACACACACACACACACACACACACACACACACACACACACACACACACCTCTAACCTCTTGGCTCTCTGGAGTATAAAGGTTATTAGAGCGACTCTCACCTCAGCTAAACTCTCTGATTTCAAGCATTTACTCTCTTCCGACAGGGAGATTTTTCCTTCTTGGCAGAAACGGGACGGAGAGATGGAGTGAGATTACACTCGTAATGTGACCAGAGTTGTGAGCGTTTGGTAACAGACAAATTTATAAAGAAAAACACAGCCTGCAATATATAAACTTATTGCTTTTGACTGAATATACACAATTTAAAACTGGAATCAAAATTACTTTCTTCATTTGTGTACTCAGCGCAAGTTATTTTATATATAACATATTTCATTATATTTAATAGACCGCAAAAGTTTGGGATCATTAATATTTTTGATATAGATAGAAATTAATACTTTTATTCAGCAAGGATGCATTAAACTAATCAAAAGTTACAGACAGGTTGCTAAACAGGATTTTTGAAAATTGATTTCAACATTGATAATAATCAGAAATGTTTCTTGAGCATCAAATCATCATATTAGAGTGATTTCTGAAGGATCATGTGACACTGAAGACTGGAGTAATGATGCTGAAAATTCAGCTTTCATCACAGCAATAAATTATATTTTAACAATATATTTAAATTGCAATAATACTTCACAATATTACTGTTTTTACTGTATTTTTGATCATATAAATGCAGGCTTGGTGAGCAGAAGAGACTGAAAAAGAAAAAAAGAAATCTTACCGAACCTTTTGAACAGTAGTTTATATGGTTAATAATATAATCAAAGACTGATGGGGAACAAAAACATTAACCCATAATATCACAGCCAAATATAACGAGCCAATCAAATCCAGAAAGATCAAATCAAGTCCCACACTACATCATTTCCTGCTGAATGCTTTATTTCACTTGAAAATATGCTTTTATGAAGCTTTTCTTCTGATATCACTAGAGACTTCACCTCATTTTAAATGCGTTTATCAAAAATGCTGAAGTTACTGAGTGCACCTTTAAATGTAATTTCACAAGGACTCTCCGACTGAAGCACATGATTGACAGAACGACAGTCTGTCATCTGATCATCAAACGCTTTGACCTCAGCTGACCTGCTGACCTTTTAACAGCCCCACATCACATTCAGCGCTTCAATAAGCCCCGCCCACAGCTTTATGCCTACTTTCACTGTGTAGTGAACACACACACAATGAATCTAAGTGTGTGTGTGAAGCTAATTAACCAAGATGAAACACAGCATACACACACACACACACAAAGGCATGAGGTTCCTGTAGGACAGATGTACAGGCCTGTTGCTCGGCAACAGAAGCTCTGTCTCCATCAACAACTTCTGTCACCCTTTTCAAGCACCTGTCAATCAAACGAACATTCCAGAGTGTGTGAGAGTCTTTCAGAGTCACAGGACCGGTCCTGTGTGACCCAACAGAGCCACAACTCTGTGTGTTCGGCTGGACGTAACCAATGATATTCTGTTGAGCGTCTGTTCTTTGACAGGACAGCTCGACTGTTGCAGCTCACAGCAATCCCACAAAAACACGTCCTGGTCATATTTCAAAACAATTATATTTTACTTCAACATAAGAATCCTATAGCCTGGGATTTTCTCACTGATGAATCCCGTTATTTTAATATGAATGAAAACAATTTTATTTACCTTTTTTAATCTAAATCGGCAGAAATGAAAGGCAATTAAAGTACAGCAAATATTACCATGACGTATACATTTTTTATATTTTTTTTCTCATTTCAGCAATAATGTTGCAGTGGAAAAAGAGGCTTCATTTTATATATATATATTTTTTTTTTATTATTATTAAGAAGACTATTTTTTTGCATTGCAACATTAATACTGCAAAGTGAAAAAAAATGTTTTAAATGATTTTTTTATATATTTAGAATATTTTAATACATATATCCTGACATGATTTTAGTTCTTCATGTAATTCTCCCATTAAGTCTTCTTCTGTCTTCTATAGAGCTGCTTTGAATCAGGTCGTATTTATGTAAATCACTATACAAATAAACCTGACTATCAACTGATTTAAATTCTTCGCCCAAAGCAAAGCTGTGTACATTTGAGTAAATTAAGAAGAGAAATGCAAACACAATTCGATTAAAAACAGATTCCCATCACACACTGAGATCTGCCACATCACAGCTGTTTCTGATCAATTCATATCTGAGTCCTTTATTTCTTCACAAGACAAACACACAACCTTCATAAACCTCAGGTTCTGTTTGTGTATCTTCATCAAACCAGCATAACACTTTGAAACAACAGAGTTCATGAAATCAATGCTTCATGCATTTATCTCATACAGGATCGCTATATGAATACTGTATAATATACAATGGTGCTCAATAGACTTTCTGAATTCATGTTGATCATTTCAACTTTTCACTCAAATTCCAACTTGATAACTCAAATTGATAATATAATTTGTAATAAAAAATCGATTAAATAAAAAAAAACTACAATTTACTATAAAGACTTATGAACTGTATAAGATGACATGTAACAGTGTAACCCTATGAGCGCGCGCGCGCACGTGCAGTTTCTCTTTGATCGCGTGGCTCACGGAAGTTCCCGCGAAAGAATTTAAATTACACTCCGTTTCACTTATTTACACGAGGATGAAATAAACGTGCGCATGTGACATCGCCACCTCAAAAATGCATAAAACGAAAAAAATAAAGCTGGAAAGTTTTAAAACACAATCCTGTGATTTTTTACTAAACGCGTGTGAATTTATTCAAATTTAAAGGGATATTATACATATAGTCCTATCATAAAGTGTGCATACGCAAACTTATTGTAGGATGATGATGGTGCGTGATGATGATGATGATGATGATACCTGAGAACTCCTGTGAAGTCTTAGTGAAGCCAGTCAGACACGAGATTCCCAACAACAGCAGTGAATATGAGACATCGGGGAAAAACATCCTTAAATGTCCCATCAGATCCGATGATTCCTGAGGATCAGACTGCAGGACATGAAGAGATGTCTGATTCCATGACTTCAGTCTGGAGACACAGGAGAGAGTCGGAGGAAGAAGACCCGAGAGAGAGAGAGAGAGAGAGAGAGAGAGAGAGAGAGAGAGAGAGAGAGAGAGAGAGAGAGAGAGAGAGAGAGAGAGAGAATTCCCCCTGGTCCCAAAGTCCCTGAATTTATGCTCAGTCAGTTCAAGTCATCAGCATGACTGTCAAAATACTGTAGTATTAAAGTTTATATAAACAAAGTATTTATATAAAATAATAATAACAACAATCAAATCCAGTGAATCAAGCTTTATACTGTCTTTAATGGTGTCAGTAGGTCACTGTATTAATGCACCGTAATGTATTACTTTACACAATGATAAACGATTGCAATCACAGAAAATACCAAATTATGCACAAATAAGCGAGGTAAGGAATTTAACCTAAGACCTACAGAGGTTGGACATTGAAACTGAAACACATGGTTTTACACCACAATCATTTATTAATATGTTGTACAGCCTCGTTTTGTGGCCAATAGAGCATCAATTCATCTTGGGAATGACAGATACAGTCCTTCACAGCGTCCCTCTGGACTCAGCCGTTCCTCTTCCAGAACAGTGTCCGGGTCACATGTGATGCTGGAGGAGGAAAGCGTTTTCTGACTCGCACCTCCAAAATACCCCAAACATATTTAGATGTGGTGAGTGTGCAGGGCATGTGAGATGTTCAACTTCACTTTCATGTTCATCACACCATTCTGTCACCAGTCTTTCTGTGTGTTGGTTGTTGTTGGTTGGGTTGGTTGTTGTGTGTGCTTTCTGTGTGTATTGGGAGTATCATGCTGAAACACGCCACCTCCTTCAAGGTACAATGTTTGAGGCATTAGATGCACACGGTCCTCCAGAACGGTTCTGTAGTTCTTGGCAGTGACACAGTCGGAAATATCATGATATTGCAGCTCAAACCATCACTGATCCACCGCTGTGCTTCACAGTCTGAGTTTTACCTTTCAAACTAATGCATTTTCCATAGCACATAATAATAATATCTCCACCTATTTAAACAGGCTATTTAAAATTATTTTATCTTACCGAAACAATGTTTAAGACTTAAATAGTGCACGTTTGATGGAATGTATGAAATCACCTTATTAAACTGGAAATGACAGCATTTTTTTCCCCAAGTTGACGCCTTTGAAGATTCCAAGGTCATGTAAAGTAAATAAAGCAGATGTGTTTATGGTCCATACCTATGGTCCTTACCGTGAAAATCTCGTGATGTTTCTCCAAAACTGTAGAGACATCTATTGGTCAATATGAAGAATTGCAGTAAAGGCCTATTCATTCACAACACGACAACATATCAGCTTCCACACCAGAGGATCGCCATAGTTGTGGCGTAGACCCTGCTATTCTATTAGCTTACATTTATAACGATTTTTAAAACAATATATTATTGTTACAGTCCTTGGTGTGAAGGGGCCTCAACTCCCTGTCATCAAAACGGCATAGTCATCAGTTTAGCGACAGCGCATTTACTTCATTGCCATTTTTACAGATAGGTTTGGTTTAAATTGTTGTTTAGCAGAGAAGCCTATAATTTCGTTTAAATTTAGGTTCCAATAGTTCAATGTATCCCATTTAGTCTGTATTGGGGCATGTTGTCATTAAAGGTCAAATGTGTTTAAGTCCCCCTGTAGTCAATAATTGTATCCCATAAAACTCATCTTTGAACACAAAAAAATGACATTTAAAAGTTTTTTTTTTCTGTGATTTTTTCCCTATGGCTTAAAATAGATTGATTATGTAGAATATTAAATAGAATGCAACTCTACACCCTTGCTTCTTTTATATATGCCGATTCATGAATATTATCCTTATATTAGTCCCGCCTCCATTCAGGCCAACACAGATTCACTCGGCCAACTTACTGTAGTAACGCTGCACTGTATCGCTCTTTACAACGTTGGACAATGGTAATTAATATGATTAGCCTTTAGCAAACAACTAATAATGTATTGCTAATGGAAAAAAAAATGTTCCAGTTGGCCATCTGTCTGCCTTTTAACAATCAGAAACGCTTCAGAATGTCAGTGGAGAAAGGCATATGATATAGTCATGTCATGATGTCATACATCATGACATCTTAATATACTCATACACACCCTATATTGCTAAATCTACCCGATTTTTCATAACAGAAAAAAATACCTGGATAACCTGGCATCTCTCGAGACTCCCCTGCTAGTTCGCTGTTAATGATATGCTAATGCAGGCACGTCTTCGTGATTGGTTACAAGGTAGTTTGTGACGTCAGAAACACCAGCGATTTCAAACAGTGTTTTTGAGACGGTCTCTTTAGTTCACTGCAGTTTTAAAGAGATACTCAGCAATGCTGTTGACTTATGAATTTGCACATGGTTTGTCTTCAAGCACATTAAAAACATGACAAAAACAACACCATTTATGAATAATAATAATAAACAAAATTTTTAAGGTTTGAGTCCATACAGAAACTGACTTTCAAAAATAAATATTCACTGGGGTAAAAAAAATGTAACAATGTACCTGAAGAGTCTGTGGTTTGGTTTTGTCTTCTTGTGATGAGCATTCACACCTTCACTCACACAAACAGACCACATAACCCAGTGCTGCCATCTCAGATGTATTTAATAAATTAAAACAAGGTACAAAAAAAAACTAATGTACATTTGACTCCTCCGTCTCTCCCTTTGTTCTCACTCTGTGACTCACTAGTAAACGAACACGATAGAACAGTCAGCCCTCATCCACTGATTACGACACATTCTGGGCCCGTATGTAACGCAACACACATGCTACATGTCGGCAAGCAGCAGCCGGGCGAAACGAGAAAGAGAGAGAGAGACAGGCAGTACCTGTTAAATTACTTGAGTGCACTCAATTGTTTGTTTTGTGTGCATGTACCAACCAAATTTAAAGGGACAGTTCACCCAAAAAAATGAAAATTCAGTCATAATTTATGCAGCCTTGTGTCATTTCAAACCTGTTTGACTACTTCTTCAATCAAACACAATTTAAGAATTTTAAAAGAAAGAAATCATACTAGTTTGGAACAACATTAAGGTGGGTAAATAAGTCAATTTTTTGAGTGAACTATCATCTTTGCGGATCTCTCTTTCCCGTCGTGTAACACCCAGTCTTTACTAGTCCCCAAATATGCTGCTGACCTCATTTATATATATATATATATGTATGTATATCAAAAACAATCATAATCATTTTATCAAAAAACATCCACAACATTTTGGCAGAATTGAGTGTGAGGAGGGGTTAGACAGACAGAGATATAGAGGATAGATATAAAGCCACAGAGAAAAAACAAGTCTGTATTGGTCCCTCTCTCTGTTAGCAGCACACGTACTCGTCACCCCACGGTTCACTAGATTATTATGTGCATTTATATATATTTTATTATATATGTGTGTGTATATATATATATATATATGCTTTTTATTTCTCCAAAATAAAAAATAAAAAAACATTTACCTAACACTATTTCTCAGTTCAAACGGATGCAAATTATCACAAGGAAAACAGCCCAAGAGCCACGGAAGATCGAACGTGGGGGAATCAAAGAACGGTTTCCAGCAAACATGCCGTGAGATGCGGGGAGCGGAGATGTCGACTGTTCGGATCGCCCTACGGAGACCCCAAAATCCAATGGGAGAGTGGTTGAAAGAGAGAGAGAGAGAGAGAGAGCGAGAGCGAGAAGGACGAGTTGGAGGAAGATCCCGACTCTCAGACTGTCAGTATCATTCATGTCGCAGTGAGGGCTTCTGGGAATTGTACATTTTGGGTTTCCTCACACCGTGTCTCAGTAATCTGCGGCGTACTCGGTCCCGTGAAGGCCACGGCACACTAGGGTGAACTCCTTCACGATGTCTTTCACTCGCCGCTTGTTCACTCGCTCCCTGAGAGGATATGAAGAAAAAAGAAAACGTTTTTCATTCTCAGATGACGATACTCGAATGTGCGCATGAAGGCTTCTTTTAAAAACATTTAAAGATCTTACCAACCTCAAACCTCTTTTAAAGGGTTAGTTCACCCAAAAATGAAAATGATGTCATTAATGACTCTCCCTCATGTCGTTCCAAGCCCGTAAGACCTCCGTTCATCTTCAGAACAGTTTAAGATATTTTAGATTTAGTCAGAGAGTTTTCTGTCCCTCCGTTGAAAATGTATGTACGGTATACTGTCCTTGTCCAGAAAGGAAATAAAGACATCATCAAAGTAGTCCATGTGACATCAGTGGGTTAGTTAGAATGTTTTGAAGCATCGAAAATACATTTTGGTCCAAAAATAACAAAAACTACGACTTTATTCAGCATTGTATTGTCTTCCGGTTCTGTTGTGGATCCGCGTTCAGTGCCGCTGCTGACGTAAGACGCTGCTGACGTGTGTCTGGTGCGCCCGAGCTTCGTTTACAGTCCCAAACATGTCTAAGGATTTCCACACAGAGGAAGACTTGCATTTTTTTGCCCAGCCATATTTATTTGAACCCGAATACACGGACGCACCAGACACACGTCAGCAGCGTCTTACGTCAGCAGCGGCACTGAACGCGGATCCACAACAGAACCGGAAGACAATACAATGCTGAATAAAGTCCTAGTTTTTGTTATTTTTGGACCAAAATGTATTTTCGATGCTTCAAAACACTCTAACTAACCCACTGATGTCACATGGACTACTTTGATGATGTCTTTATTTCCTTTCTGGACAAGGACAGTAAACCGTACATACATTTTCAATGGAGGGACAGAAAACTCTTGGACTAAATCTAAAATATCTTAAACTGTGTTCTGAAGATAAACGGAGGTCTTACGGGCTTGGAGCGACATGAGGGAGAGTCATTAATGACATCATTTTAAATTTTGGGTGAACTAACCCTTTAAAACAATTCAATTCACATTTATTTGTATAGCGCTTTTCACAATACACATCGTTTCAAAGCAGCTTTACAGAAAAGTCCACATTACAATTCAGAGTCATCTGTTATCAGAGGTAACTGTCTAAGTTATGTATTTCAGAAATGTACATAATACAAAAATCACAGTT